TAATAATAATAATAATAATAATAATAATAATAATAATAATAATAATAATAATAATAATAATAATAATAATAATAATATATTTTAAAAAGCCCCAATGGAGATTAAAAATAAAAATATTTTTTCCCAATAAATAAGCCACTGCTTACAATACTGATTTTAAATATAAAAATGAAAAGATGGATAGAAAGATGATTCCAAATATTGTTTGGCTCGTTCTTAATTAAATTTTTCATAGCTATCTTAAAAAAGAAAAATCCCACAAAATTTTTACAAGTTAAGGGACAGAACTGAAAATTCTGATATAGAGATTTATCTTACCTAATTGGCAAAAAACTAGTATACTCACTACTTACTAGTAAAAATTTGAGCAGCTTTTCTCTATTTTGTCTTCTTGGCTCTAGTAGAATATGGGCAATCTCCTAGATATTAGGTAGAGGCCCCTCCCCCCAGGAATTCTGTAATCCACATCTGTTTGTAGCATACCTGGGCTGGTTTGCTCTTATTATGGCCCACAATTTAATTTGCTGCATATGGTAATGTGATTTTACTGACGATAATACATAACACACACACGCGCGCGCACACACACACACACAGTACTTTGCAGAGCAAATTTGAATTGATTTGATGTAATTTTAATCAAGAGAGACTTCTACTAACTTTAAGGAAAATGTCACAACATGCATTTCAGATACAAATAATTTCAAATAATTGAAAAGTATTCACTAATACTTCCAGCCCTGATTTCTTTTAATAAGGACTAACCCTGTTTGCTGCCTAAGAAGAAAATTACTGTGCAAAATAAGCACGATTATCAATATTTTTTAGCCTTTTTCATGTATTAATTTGAAAAAGAAATTATAAGTTAGTAGTTGGTTACAACAAAAAGAGCAAATAACCTGCCAGAAACACTTATTTTAATAGCCTTTTCTTCTAATATTGATCAGCAAGATAAATGTCAATATTTCAATCTATTATAAAACTGTCTTAAGAAAACTCTTTTAAAATATTTTCCCATGTCTAGGAATAATTTTCAATAATACATTATTTAACATTTTTTGTTTCAGTAAACAAAAAATGTTTAGCACCAAGTTAAAATAATGTGCTACAGTTTGGAGATAGTAGAAGACATTTGAGCATTTCTCTTAAGTACCTGGAGCCAAGGCAGACCAAGGAAACAACAACCAACGTCTTAATAGCTGGCCTTCAACAACCCAGTTAACAACTAAAAGCAACACGCAAGCAGGAACCACATTAATACTACATTCTGGAGAAAGATACTTTCCCTGAGGATGGGCTCCAGCACGAGTCTGAAAGCATGGAAGACTGAACATCTGATTCTAGTGACTAGCTCAACTCCTGAAGGACTCCGGGCGGCTCACAATAGACAAGGGAAGGGGGATAAATAGACAAAGTCAACACTTTAAAACGCAACATTCACAATTTCCGTGGGGCTGGATGTTTCACAAGCCCCCCGGCCTGCTGGAGCAGCCAGGACTTGGTGGAGGCTTTCATAATGCCTCTGATCCTTGGATGTCACTCTATGGGTTATTAATGAAGTCTTTAATTCTCCAGAAAACAAATCTGGGAAGAGAATTTATGGAAATGTTTCAGTTTGAGATTACTATATATTGACAATGAGAGTACTTCTTCCTTTTTTAAAATCTTCATCCTGTTGCATGAT